ATGTAGATCAACAGTAAATGCAGAGGTCCTCAGTGCATAGTTCTAATATTGTGGTCTTATAGGTGTATACTAGAACCTTCTTCTTCTATTACACTTATACCTTAGAGAAAGGAAAAATGCCTAAACAGAAGATCAGACTTTTTAACAGGAATAATCTTCCCTGCTTCTAGTTTTAAAACTATCAATTTTATAATAAAATTCTTTATTTGTAACTATTTGCATATTGAAAAGAATAAAGGCTGTACTCCCTTGATAGTGATCCAATAAAAGAATGTATTCAAGGAACTAAATAATCTTCCGCTATTTCTAATCTTTTGTCTAGCCAATTTTCAGATCTTGGGCAATTTGCAGAATGTGAGAAGTCTGGATAATCATGGATTGTGAATTTCAGCTCTAAATTTCTGCAATGAGATAACACTTATGAGACAACATCTCAACCAGACTATTTGTGTTCTCCAGAGAAGGTCTTCTTCAGGAAATTGGGAAGACAGTAAATTAAACACAGAATGTTTACATAAGGGTAGCACAGCTGAATTCAGGTGCAGAATGTATCATAATCACTAAAACAATTGAGATTTCCAGTTGTCTAGCCATTTCAGAGCTGAGAATTTAACCTCATCTCAGCGCTTGAGAAGAAATAATAAAGAGGTTTAAGATCAAATTTCCTTTCTCTGTAAATAAAAAAAAACCCAAAGCCATCAGTAACAAACACAAAATCAAGTCTCATACTCATTTGTCAACAGTGAATGTTTCCTTGGCTGGTGATAGCTCATCCAGTGTTTCCCTTAACACCTTTCCACCAACCTGAGGAGAACACTGCACAGGCCCTTCCCCCCCAGACCTTTTACTGAGGCAAACAAAATGTAGATATTATAACCCCCTGATACCTTCCTGCTTTTTTACTGAAGTGAAATACAGTCAGCAGACAGTTCACTGAGGCTTTTTTTTTTTTTTCTTCGGCTTTTGTCAAACTCCAGAACTAATCTGTCATGGTGCAATTCCTATATTAGCATCTAAATTTATGTAAAAGAGACTTAGTGTTATGAACCAACAAAATTGCAACGGCTGTTCTGGATCTTGGAGCTGAGAACTTCATTCATATGTAATTCAAAGGCATTTGTGCAACACAGGGCAATTAAGTCCTCCCTCAGGGCACACCACCGATTTCACATGGGAATGGAGCCGTGTTTCTGTCTTGTCTGGGTCTGATGAAAACAAAGGGTTTGCAGGATGCACTGAAGGATGATCTACCATTATGTGAGAAGCCAAAATTAGCATCTTAATTGTCACAGTTAAAAAAAAACCCTAAAGGTCTTTAAAAAACATGTATTAAAACCAACTTAAGTTTGTCAGGGCATCTTCCTTTTTGGTGTGTGAAGCTCTGTCCCTGTGTCTGTAAAAATTGTGAAGGTCTTCTCCATCTTAGTTGTGAATGATGTTCAGAACATCAGTATCAAAGGGAAAGAAAATATGATTGACTGGATACTAGGTGAAAGGAATTTAAATTCAACTCTAAATGATGGTCAACCTTCAATAACAATTCAGGGATGTGTTCTCACTGTTTCCAAAATCTGAGGCTCTTTTTGACATCCTCGTTAAAGATCAGCAAACCAATAACAAATCCTATTTTATTAAGGCAGAAAAACTAGGACTCATCACCTCTCCAGTAGGGTTCCCCATGAGCTTTTAGCAGCAGTAACATGCTAAGGAGGGAACAGACAGAAACCTTCAAATAAAAAGGCCATCACCTGATGTACACTTTTGGTTGATTTCAAGATGCTTGAGAATTTTCTGTCTCTGCATCCACTGACCGCTCCCCCATGGCAGTCTTTTGGTAACCTGTTTCACTCTGCACTGACATGGACTGTCCAGTGATTACTCGACAAGTAAGCTGACCTCCCCTCCTCTAAAACAAGTATATTTTATTTGTATGCTCAAATAAAATGTTTTATATTCTAGGTAACTTTCATAGATTATATTCTTGGCTGAGATGGGTTAGGAATTTCATAAGCAAGGTTGTCTCCCACATTATGGGATACATATTTGTATGCTCAAATGAACATCTCAGGAAACCTTAGACTGTTTCAAAGGTAAAAGAAATACAGAAGGACTTTGACCTTCAAAGAACTAAGTGGCAGTAGAATATCAAAACATTTTCCCAGCCACCCATTTTCTTTAAAGCTACCCAGCGTAAAAAAATGATACAATTTTCTTTTGGAATTTTTAGAAGTCTCTAAAACAAAAGTATTTTTCTTTACAGAAAGGAATTCAGAATCCGGAAGAAACCATATTAAGACCTGGCAGTGTTCTCCTGTCCTTCAGAAAACAGGATGTATCTTACCCTTTGAAGATATTGTGACTGGCTGTTTGCATCTTAATCAAATGCTTCACAAAGTATCATCAGCATCACCCACAGCCTGTAATTAATGACTCTACAAAATGCTTTCTGCAAGGCAAGTATTAACTGACATTTAAATATAACTTTCAAACATAAAACAAAACAAACTGTTCAAGCAAAACAGCACATTTGCGCCCACAGGTTAGAGTTTGTTCATTTGGATTGGGAGGTGGTAAGTGGAAGTTTTCCTGCCTCTTATTTACAGGGTGAAAAAGGAAAAACTTTCTACCTTTTGAATGAACCTAAAAATCTCAATAAAAAAGTCAGTAAAAATCCCATAGATACATGAACTACAACTGGTCATCACATATAGAAAAATAATTTTAAGTGCTTTCTCAGCTTCAGGAAGGGTAACAGGTCCACAGTGTGTATGCACTGTCACCTCAATCTGACAGTTGTTCCTCCAGGGTTCCTCTGCCCAATGCAATTGCTTTGCCCTGGGCAGAGCGCTGATTGTGGACCACAGTGCTCAGATACATCGAAAGAGAACCACCATTTAAACTTTAAGCTCGGGGAGGAAAAATTATAAGCAATTTAGCTTATGTCCTGTCTGAAAAGCCAAGGAGTGGAACAGAGTGGTGTTGCATTTATATAGACGCATTAAGCTCCTGACCCAGAATGAACACGGCAGTGCAGGCAGCGGGTGCGTTCTGCGGGGTGAAGCCACACCGTCTCACAGCGGGAGAAATATCACCCCTAACCACTGCTGCTCACACACCTGCTTATTATCTGAGCAACCCGGTACCGGGAGACCTGAAATTGCTGTTTTGTGAGGAAATTCCTGCTGCCAAGAGGTGGTATGTTTGAGTTCAAAAGACACCGAGAACAGTCAGAAGTGGTTTCAGATCAAAACATTCAAAGAAAGACCAGAACAGATAATAGGGGAGAACCAGGGACTTGTGTTTGGTGGTAAATAGTGAGCTGGTACTTTTCAATGGGTTATGTGAAAGCAAAGGGACTAAAAGAGCTCATGATTACAAAAAAAAAAAATAAAATAAATTAAGCTGGCCACCTTTCTCCTAAAAACAATTAAGAAATAAGGACCTGATTAGTTATTCTTTTATTATTTTATAAACATGCAAATTGAGTATAAAGTGCTGTCAAAATGGTTAGGTCCTAAAAAGTTAACAAGCTATACCCTGGTTTATGGCCTGCCCTATGGCCAGCCCGTGGCAGGGGGGTTGGAACTAGATGATCTTTAAGGTCCCTTCCAACCCAAACCATTCTGTGATTCTATGTCTGAGCACCTCTGTATGTGATTTGGAGTTCCAGACAGCCTACCATACTTCAGATGTTTGGAGAATGATGCTATTGCTTGTCAGAGTTTTACAGAAGTATAGAAAAATGTTTGAGGGTGCCCCATTCAAAAACATCCATAAAAACTAGCAGAACACACATATACAGTCTTCCTTTACAGCTTTTTCTCCCTTTTGGGCAGGGCTACATGAATGACTGATAAAGACTCAAAGAAAACAAAAATGTTCAGGCTTTTTATGACTGATAATAATAATTTTAAAAATCTAACAGCATATCAGCTGACCCAAAATGGAATATTCTATATTTGGAAATTATCAGCATACAGCAAAGGACATAATGGTATATATGATAAAAAATGGAGGTAGCATAATAATAATAATAACTTACTTTCATTATTCAGTGGAACATTAATTGGGATATTTATCCAGAATGTGGGAGACTGGGGTTTAACCCCTGACTCTTAAAAGATAACGTTAAAGTCTATCATTCCCATTGGCAGTGTGACACTTCCTTTTATATATTAGAATAGCCAGCAAGTCAGAGAGGGTACAGGCAAGAACGATACTCTACACTTCTTGACAATGTAGATTCAAATCCACATATGAGGATGGAGTCTATTCTGGATTTTTCATATAGCTCGGTTATTGGATAGAAGGGACATCCACCATACCAAGGCACATTTAGGAAAACTAATGTAAGACTTGGACAAGACAGGAGAAATAATTAAGCCCCAGACACACAAACCCAGGAGATAAAGGAAACAATTCCAAAGACCAGAAATCTCGGGCCACTGATCGGCCATTGAAGGAGCCACTCAAAGTCTTGAGGAGATTCAACTGGAACTTTCCAACCGGTGAGGGGGAGGAAGATTATCACAAGTCTCTCAATAAGGAAAAAAGTCTTTGTAAGGTACTTCAGGGTGTTTGTATGATTGTGCAAAACACATTCTGGGATCTTTAGGGGAAAAGCCAAAGATGGGGAAAGGATGGGATGAAGGTACATTGAAGAGGAACGTAGGGGAGCTCCGGGGGCTGGGGTGGGGAGGGGGGAACTCAGCCCTCAGGAGAACAAGCTGCATGAGATGGTCATTTAAAAGGGGGTTTCTCAGGAAAAATAACAAACTTTTTTTTTTTTTTTTTAGGCAAGTGCTGCAAACCAGGGTTTCTGGAATAGACGCCTGGTATCAAGCAGTTCACAAGGGCTGCGGGCGGACACTGCCGGGGTTATGGACAGGCCGCGTCTCCCCCCGCCACAGCCCTTCCACGGCCTTTCCTTCAGCGCGGCAGGCCCGGAGACCGGCGGCGCTGCCCCAGCAGCAGCGGAACGGCGGGAGTCAGCGGTCCCCTCACAGGCTCCCGTCCCGCTCCCGCCGGGGCCCGCCGGAGCCTCCAGTCAAGCACCGATCGCCCGGGATGGCGGGTCCGAGGCAGCGGGCGGCGGGCGGGGCGGTGAGCGAGGCGGGGCTTCCGGGAGGGCGGCGGATGTTGGGGTTTGAATTGTGCGTCGGTTGGGGCGGGCGGCCCGCTGGCGGGGCGGACGTGGGGTGAGTAGCGTCTTCGTTGGGCTGAGGCTTTGCCCTGCGGCCGCCTCTGGCCGGCACAGCCCGGGGGCGAGGGAGGGTGAGGAGAGGCGGTCGGGGCGACGGCCCCCCCCGGCTTCTCCGTGAGGGGAGCGATGTGCGACGGCCTCCCGGCCCGCGCTTTCGGGGAGCGCAGGGGTGTCGGTAGGGTTCCGGGGCTGAGCCCGTGGGAGGCTGGGGCAGCGAGCGGCCGCCTGAGCCTTGATCAGGCCGGGGTCCCGGGCCGGCGGCGGGGTGCCGAGGGACGGGTGTCTGTCGGGACAGCGACGGGCGGGGTGAAGCGGGGCCCCGGCCGTGCTGTCCTGTCCGGTGTGCGGCCGGGACGCGGGGGTGAAGGGGTGGGATCTGGGAGAGCTCCTTGGTTGGTATCCCAGGGAAAGCGTGTTCCCGAAACCCTGCCTCTTGGGGATGCCATCTGTTTTGGTTATTTTCTTTTCCCATCCTCTAGTTAAAAAGCTCACGTTGTGTTCTGGAGCAGTAAAGAGTTATGGAACTTAGCAAAATCTAAATGTCCCCTTGCGTTCTGTTTTGGTTATTTTCTTTTCCCATCCTCTAGTTAAAAAGCTCACGTTGTGTTCTGGAGCAGTAAAGAGTTATGGAACTTAGCAAAATCTAAATGTCCCCTCTAAAGATTTTTTTATTTATTTTTTTTTTTAGCCTCTTTAGGCAAAGTGGATACATCTCATTTACACTTGAGTTTTTATCAGTGGGCGATAATGTGTTCCTGTCTTGCAAATAGGCTCGTAGGGAATGGCTTTGTTCCGGGAGAAATCCGGTAGGACTTAAAACATGGAGCCTCAGTGGCTGTTCTCGCATATCGTTTAACTTGCAAATTTGAATTCCAGGCTCATTTCCCTGAAAAAGTTTGAGAGAAGTAGAAGGAATTTGGGGGGGGTGGGGAAGGAGGAATAACGATTTTTTTTTTTCCCTGTTTCGTTGAAGCCAGGGAAAGGTAGGAAGGTGCTGTTTCCAGCCGCATGTGTGTCTTCTCCACCTGGTTGGGCTTTTTACAACACACTGAGGGGAAAATCTGGTCTTGTGTGGTTATATATCGAATGTTTCTTCTTTGGGTTCAGAACTGTGAAACTGAGAGGGACTATTCATGGGGAATGTCGAAGAGAAGGGAGTGTGTGTGAGCTAAGTGCTCTTCTTTTGCTCCCCCTGTACCTAATTAGGCATTTGTTTGTAATTTAGAAAGAGGGAGGTGTGTTTCTGGGAAAACTGGAACCACTTACTTCCTCTGAGTGTCGGTGCAGTGGATCTGACATCTTCACCCAATAGGGTTGTGGTGGTGTTTATTTTGTGTTTGTTTTCCTTTTAGGCCGTTTTCTGGCAAAGGTCTTTGTGTGCAACTCCTCGGGTTCTCTAACCTGGTGCAGTGGTGTAGATCAGTTGCCTTATGCCTGAGACTTTTGCCCCCCCCCCCTTTTTTTTTTTCCTTTCTCAATAAAACTCCTTTCCTAAAACTCCAGTAAAATGGCTGTAGTACTTTACTTGCAATAGTTTAGATTAGCCTGAGGTTTGTCCCTGAAGCCTGTACCTGGCTTCATCTAAGCTGTAAATACCGAAACTCCCGTAGCTCGGAGGCTGTGGGGCTCCTGGTGGGGAGGCTGGAGTCATTCCCAGCTGATCCCTGCTCACTTCTGCCTGGGAAGAAAGTTGTCCCCCGTCCTGCGAGGTCAAGCAGGGACCTGCAGGCAGTGACCCGAGATTCTTGTCGTGCAAAACTTTTGTAATGCTTTTTTTAGCTTCCTAAGAGAAGGCAAGTCAAAGATCTGCAGGTACTTTCCTAAAAGGGTTCTACTTTGCACTGGAGAAAGGATAATCATCTTAGTGCTGCGGTGTACAAACATGTATTTTTAATTTTTTTTTTTCCGAGGTGGGCTAAGATGCGTGGTGTGGCACACAGTAAAGGCAGCTCCTGCTGTATCCATGTTAATGCTTCTTGGAGACCTAATTTTCAGGGGCATGTGGTGTTTGAAGAAATGCAGGCTGGCTCAGTGTTTCTAAATTAATTACTCTCCACTTCAGAATGTAAAATACGTAGTTCTAAATGGTGTAAATTCTCCTGTATGCATGCCCTGTTTTGGATTCCTCACTAGTTCTTCCTTCTTCTTTTTTTTTTTTTTTTTTTCCTTTGGTCTTAGATGCGATTTCTTTGACGGGGCCAGGATTCTTCATTTTCTCCAAACGGTGGAGGCTATCTTCAGTTATGTCACTATCCTATCCAGTTAGTTTTTTCTTTCAAGTTCCTTATGTTAATACAATCTTTATTTGAGCAGGAGTCACTGCCACTTCCTTTGTTGTCCTTGGATCATTATTTTTGATGTTTGAAATAATTACAAACGCTTCTGAACAATTAAGGCTATACGTAACTAGCTATTGCATTGGACTTTATTTTCTCTTCCAAAAATAAAATATCCTGTTTGATAGTTTAGGGAAATAGTTAAAAGTTGCTACATGTTTCATTGGTCTGGGAATATTTTTTCTGAACATTTGCATCCTGCTTCCTCAACCCCCATCTCTCACAATAACAGTTAATTATAATATTCTTTTGTTCTTGCTCCTAATTTAAGTTAACCGAGTTTCTTTCCTTTTTTTTTTCAATTTAAAATAAAATGTAAAAGTGGTAGATAAAGGTCATTGTTAAAGCACTAGATGTATTTAACACCTAATTTCTTTTTCATGATAGGCAGTCAGAAGAACTGAGGATGAGTCAAAGCAGTAATTTTGACGATCCAAGCCCATGTAAGTAAGGTTTTTATTAAATAGTTACAGAAATCTTTAATCTGCATATACAGTACCAATTATAACTTGCTTTATTCGGGCTCAAAGAACAGGTGGATTTTCAGTAATCGAATTGTGTTGCTACCATTTGTATTATGGAATGAAAAGAAATGACTTGTAAACTTCCTTGTACTTTCTATAATTGGAATATCTTAAAATAGTATTTTCTGCAGATGTTTTAGGAAAGTAACCTTGTGAATTCAGCTGCCAAACCAAACACAGCTGTGTTTGAGATGTATCATTCAAGACTTTCTTAAGCTGAAGCAGTACCTCTGTTCTCATCACTACTATGACTGTTGTTGATGTTAGAATATTGAAAATACATCTTATAAATATATTGAGAATTTAAGGGAAGATATTAAATGTCTGTGGAAGTATGTTAGTGGGCTAGGAACTGCAGAAATGGGGAAGTCCTTAAGATTTCAGTTGACTACAGTGTTGTCTCAAGTCCTTTAATGTTTTGAAACTGGTATATGTTTTAAAAGTGCTGGTAGCGTATGACTTGATACAGTCAGGATTGCCTTTGTGGAAAGCATATGAATGGTATCACATAGGTATACAAAGAAACAGTTAAGTTGCTTTGTGGATTTTAATATGGTGAAGGGTTTACATACAATACTAAAACCAATTAGATGACATATTTCACACATCTGGACATTTTTGGCCATTTGATAATTATCTTTAGGTGTTTTGGCAATAATATTCAGCACAATTGGCTTGTGAATTTAGCTTGGGTGGTAGCCCTCTCCTGGATCAACAGGCAGGGGGATCCAGTGAAGTATTTTATTTTTAGGAGCTAAAGAAGGAACAAATAGTACCCTCTTTTGTATTTACTATGGAATTCAACATTGAGAAGAGAGGGGTATTTACTGTCCTTTATCCAGTAATCTACTTCAAGATGCATGCAATTAAAAGCAATAAAAGTTATTGCTCTGCAGTTGATCCATGGTCATTCTAGTACATTCACTGTGGTTATAAATGTGATTCTGTATATTTTAGTCTGTGTTCTCTGTGGACGGACAGATGACTGCCCTGAAAAGTATGGAGAAAAAAGGACCTATGTGGCATACAATCTTACTGTTCATTACTACTGTTTGGTAAGTATGTGGTATTGATCTTGGAGCTTGTCTGTTTTAACTGGAAAAAAGGAAAATGCAACAAGTATTAAATAGTAATAACCTGTCCAAACAGTTGATTTAAGAGCTTGAACTGTCAGCTTTAAGTTGTAGCCTTGAAGGCTTGTACTTGTCAGGTGCAGCAGGTGAAATAAATCCCAACAAGCCTTTATTAAAAGCTAAATTCTGTTCATGATCTGTTTAAATGAATTAGTTAATTCTCCCAACCTACCAAAGCAAGGAAGGTACATGTTAAGAGAAAGGGAACAGATTGCACCTGCATATTCGCCTCTATAAGAGAAATGTAGTTTCAGAATTTGCAAAGTGAAAATTCTACCCCTTGTAGAAAAAATAGAGAAAAGTTGTCTTTTTTTTTCTCATTTCTCATTAGTTCTTGTTTGGCTGTGACATTATATAGGGCATAGAAAGGACTTAAGAAATAGTCCTACTTTTCGGTTTAGTAATGTGTACCCTACTGATCATATACAGCTACAGTATGACTATTTAGTAAGACCTTTTAATTTGAACAAAACTGTGGATATAAAGTACAGTTGAGTATCTTTTTTCAAGTTTAAAAAACAGTCTCAAGAGTATCAGCAAAAATTGGGGGGGGTTGTTTATTTGGTTTTTTTTTTCATAACAGGTTCTTTAAAGATTGTGTTGGTTGCAGATGACTTAATAGGTTGGATATTCTTTCAAACCCTAGGCAGAGTAGTGGTTTTCTGAAGTTACACAAAGATAGAACTTGTTTTTCTGAAATAAATTTTAAGCAGCTAGAAGGAAGTTTGTACTAAAATTGGTCCAGTTTTATCTCATACTTACGGCCATATGAAATGATAGGAAAATGTCCTTTCCTGAGGGAGCAGAACAGCTAGGAAAGGGCATGCTTGCAACACTGAGCCTTATGATTTATAAAATTTTTTACTGTGAGCTTCCTGCAGTCCTCTTGTAGGTTTTGGTCCCTGCTTCTTTTTAAAAACAAACAAACAAAATCCTGTGATTTTACTTAAATATAGTGAATATTATATAAGAAAAGAGTTCTTCTAGAAAGAGGCCAGTTAGTGGTGCAATTTTGGTTTTCTTAGCCAAATGTCTCACTTGCATTTGGAAAAAAGATGTTCTTAATTGGTTTTGGCATAAATTTTTACATTTATTTGACTAAAATATTGATAAAACTAGTTAAAAAATGATGCTATGTTGAAATTATGAAGTGAGGACTTGAAATCAGATTGTAAAGAATATAGGAGGCGTCACGTTGTGAAACTATTCAGTTATTTGAAGTTTGTGAAGTAACTACCTTACTTAGTAACTTCAATCTATATTATCAGGCTGTTCTGACTTGCCTAGTTACTTGATTCTGTTATTATTTAATTCTTCTCTGAAGTGAATTACTTTTCCTCTCAGGTTGCACTTCAGTACAGTTACTTCCTACTGTGCTTCATTATCTCCACAGCGCAATTGTCATTCACATTAGCTAAACTAATACAATTTTACTTCCTCTGAAGCCTTATATGCTTAAAGTAATTGTTTGATAATTATCTTAACATTCTGTATACTTCCAAAAGGAAGTTAAAATACATCATCTTGGGCTCTACAGTTTTACATAAGACTTTGATGTTATGAAATACTTAATTTTCACGTTACTGGTTACCATTCCCTATTGTGTCCTATCAGACAAAATATATAGAAGTTTTGGATCATTTTTTAAATTGTTAAAATGTTTGCCCACAAGCTTTGTTAGACTACTCCCTTGACAAATGCAGTGTAGGTAATTTTAAATCTTTAGGTAGATGAATGTTTCAAAATCCTTAATTTGTTTTCATAGTTGATGTCTAGTGGCATTTGGCAGAGGGGAGAAGAAGATGAAGGTGTAGATGGATTCTTAATCACGGATATCAAAAAAGAAGTAAATAGAGCTGCAAAACTGGTAAGGATACTTAAAAGTGCACTTAGTATTGCCTGTGGGGTTTGTCTTCTTTCTCCAGTGGGCAGTGTGCTGAGCCCATTCAAACATCAGAATTTTACCTTTAAGTAACAAGTATGTTGGGTTCATTGAAGCCACAAGGGACAACAAAATCTGCAGAAATTTGCTAATATTTCCTGGGTATGTTCCAGATAGGTGAGTAAGAGCAAATTACACGTGTATAATACCTCGTGACATTAAGCTGTGCCTCAAGCTGACATTATATAATTTTATAGATGCAACTAAACTGCAAGTTATTTTACCAGTACCTATATTTTGGTATAGATGTCACGAGTCAACATGCATATAAAATAATGCATAGTAAAAGTCTGTGAAATAAGTATATATCTTTATTCTTTGAGACAGAGCTAAAACATAATAGTCTTGTCACCATTACAATCTACTGGCTGATATTCTTTCATACAGTTTATAATTTTTCTAATGGTTTAGTTCCTGTAATTTTACTTGGACTTTAGGTGTTAATTTTCTATTATTTCTAAAACAAATTATTCCTAGAAATGTAATATCTGTAGGAAAAAGGGTGCTTCAATTGGATGCGTAGCTCCCAAATGCAAACGAAGTTACCATTTTCCTTGTGGGATACAAAGAGAATGTATTTTCCAGTTCATGGAAGACTTCAGGTAAGTTCTGGGATTTTGTTGCTTTTTAATTTTCAATTAATTATATTTATACAGGTTGTCATTGGATAGGCTGTTAATTATAAATGACATCTGGGTTATCTGAGAAAAAATACCTGATTTGTGGAAAACACAAAGGCCAAGTAGTTATATTGCATACCTAGTACTTATAAACTAAATTCTCAACACTTCTAAAGATATAATTTAATGCTTCTACAAGTAAGTAAATTGTTTAGAAAATCAAAGCATTAAATCCTAAACTGTGAAATAAACTAGGAAATGGTTTGGTTTGCCTTTTTTTGTTTGTCTGCCTCTTGTGCCTTTGTTTAAATGGCAATGGTCTGGCTGCCCGTCTCTCTCAGCAGTCACAACCGACTATGCCATTCTGTTGTGTTTCAAAGCACAAGACTTCAAGATCTGCTTATTAGAGGTGGACTGAGGCGAAATGGGTTTAATATCAAATGGCTAAAATATGCTTAATTTTCTTTTGCTATCATCTGTCCAGCATCTTGGCTGTGGTCAAAATACTCTTGAGCGCATCTGATAACATCTTTATTCTGCCTACTGTAACTGGAGTTTGTAGGATGGGTGCATGAAGTCACTTTAAATTCTTAAATAAACGACTTACCTTAAGACAAGCACATGTAAAAATAATGCATTTTCAGAAAGTTTTCTTCTAGAGCTCTATTTCTTTGCTAAATTATGAAATTTATCACACCACCTAGGCTCTGCAGAATCAGTATGCAAAGTCAAAATCACTCCTTTAACATCATAGTAACGTTAGGCAGAACTTGTGGTTCTGAGGACAGGAAACACATTACTTGGACCACAAGTTTTGAGAGAAAGGGGGTGTATGATCTCTGTAATTTACTAAGTGTCAGTTGGCAACACACTTCTTCCTCACTATTGTTCTATTGACTTGCTCTGTTAGATGCCTTCTTTGCTTACATGTGGGTTGTGGTTTTACCCTGATAGGCAGCGGAGCACCACACAGCTGCTTGCTCGCTGCCCCAGTGGGATGGGGAGAGAACCAGGAGGGTAAAAGTGGAAAAACTCATGGGTTGAGATAAAAACAGTTTAATAGGTACAGCAACAGCTGCATGTGCAAGCAAAGCAAAATGAGGAATTCATTTATACTTTCCATTCAGCTAAGAAAGCAGGGCTTCGTCATGTGTAGCAGTTACTCGGGAAGGCAAATTCCATAACTCCAAACATCTCCCCTTCCTCCTTTTTTTTTCCCCAGTTTTATTGCTGAGCTTGACATCATGGCATAAAATATCCCTTTGGTCAGTTGGGGTCAGCTGCCCTGGCTGTTTCCCCTCCCAACTTGTTGTGCCCCCCCCAGCCTGCTGCACCGAGTGGAGCAGTGTGAGGAAAAAGAAGAGGCCTTGATGTTGTGTAAGCACTGCTCAGCAAAACACATCCTTGTGTTACCAACACTGGTCTCTTCACAAATCCAGAAAACAGTTCTGTAAAAGCTACTAAGAAGAAAATCAACTCCATCTCAGCCAAAAACTGTTCATGTCTGCATTTTTAGCTTGTTGCACACCATTTATTCATAAAAAACAGAGATAGATACAAGAGCTGTCATTTTGCTATCCTCAAATTTTATGAGAAATGTTCTTCAATTCTTGCTTTGATAAGAGAACCTTAAATTATTACTTTTAGATCTTACTGTTGGGATCATAAACCAGTCCAAAAGTTTTCCAATGAAGAATCTAGAGGAACTTCACAGTGTACAATATGCATGGATTTGGTTGAACAGCGTCCAGAGTACAATGTATTGAAAAGTCCATGCTGTAAAAATGCGTGGTTTCATCGAGAATGCTTGCAGGTAACACAGGTTCTCCCTTTCTTTTCTCTTTGCATCCAGATCACATTTCTGTTGTGTTTAAAAATAATGGAACAGTTGCTTAAAATTGTGTTAAATTGCTGAGGGTTTATGTGTGTAGTAGGTATGGAAATATACAAGGTTTGAAGGACTATGATAAAATTGTGGTTTGGAGAGGAGTCTTACAAGAAGGATTTTTTTTAAAAATGCTATTAATTAATTCCACCCCCCATGTTTCTGCATATGTGATACATTTCATGGCTTCAGTTATTTTTAGGAACTGAAGTCTGACCTAGGTAGTTGCCTTTTTGCAAGTCATTATGTGCAGAATATAAAAGCTAAAAATGTCATTTATCCATCATGAGTTCACTCTGCCTAAGTCCAGAACTGGAAAAAGTTAAAAGGTGGTTCTTGTAAACTCATTCTAGATCTGGAGAGATTGGCTGAAAAGGATTGTGCTTTGTTTATGGACCTAACTCTAGTATGTGAGCTCTTGTCCTTTAAAGGAAGAGAAAATGCCCGCCATTCACTTCAATGTCAGGTGACATGATGATTGATAGCACTTTAACATCCATGTCAGGACAGTATCCATGAATCTAAGGGTTATACATATTAAGGTATTTATTGACATCCTAACAATGGTAGTAATTCAATAATTGGTTTGGTTTCTGTTGTTTGTTTTTGTTTTTTTTTGACACAGTATCAAGCTTTGAGTGCTGGGATATTTTTCTTTAGGTGCTCAGTATGTAATAACAAGGACAAATTTCAGAAAGAAATGTTGAGAATGGGCATACACATTCCAGAAAAGTAAGTAATTTTGTAGATATTCGCTCTTCTATAAAACCTTTAAGGTGTTAAAACCACTTATTTATTCTATAGAACTGCATCTGTTAATATGTGCAACCTCAGTTCTACCTTCAATAGTAGAATTGTTTGGCTTGGTGAGGAGTAGCCTGTTTCCTTTTAGTTATGCATAAAAATTGTAAAAGGCCAAATTAGTCATCTGGAACATAAAGCAGAAAGCTCTGAAAAGTAATTTTTAATACCATGATTCAACCTATTTAAAAGATCAAAACACTTCTTATATAAAATAATTTCACATTGACATAGAGGTTGCCAGAAAGGGTATTTTCTTTGCTCAAGTTTTTAAATTACCTGAATTTCTGTCCAGACAATATTATAATCAGCTGATTACTCAGCCATCCCATGATCACCATACAGCTTCCTCTTTCTCACAAGGGATTGCTAAGGATATGTTGAATATAAAAACTGCTTCTAAAATTCTGAGCTGTTATTCATAATAAGGTAAAATAAGACAGCCTAATCAGAATGATGTTCCTTTGTTAGAAATGGTATTCTTTAATAACTACTAGTGTTTTCAGAGACTTCCATTAATTCCATCCAGAGGCAGAAGCTCAAGATTTTGGAGAGGAAGAAGAGTCAAAATGCTTCATAAATTTTGCCATCCTGGCTGGGAAAATTCTGAGTTACCACTGAAAACAGCCTCATGAAAAGTAGCTTGAGTAGACTGCCAAAATAAATATCCGTGTCTGCTGTGAGAGAGAAAGTGAAATAATATGAAACAGAGCAAATATGCACTGAGGTCATGCAAAAAATAACAAATACTTTAACCAAAGTAACTGTAGACAAAAAAGTCTGTCTGGTATTTTAAAGTACTTCTCTTGTTCCTAGACTTTTTTTCTTCCCCCTCTCAGGTGTCTAGCTGTTTTCTAGAACATTACATGATTGAAATATCTTCATGTGGCTATTACATACATCTTTTCCAAAGACAGAGTAACCCATTTAAACAATCAGAAATGCAGTTGTAATAAGTGATCTTCTGCCTTGATTATAGGGATGCATCTTGGGAACTTGAAGAGAATGCTTATCAAGACTTACTGCAATGTTATCAACACTGTGACATTAAAAGGTGTCTGTGCAAGAAAGGAAGAGACTATAATGAACCTGATAGGTATGACACTTTTGCAGGAAGGTATAACCTAGGATGGGATAGTTGTCTGGTGTTTTTATTTATTTATTTAAATGCTTTAATATTTATCAGCATCAGGTTTTAATGTCAAGCCAAGACACCCACCGTGTGTCCAAATAAAATCTTTGGTTTACTCCCTATAATCGTAATACTTCGATACTATTTTTCTCTAATCATGTTAGAAAAGCCAAGAAAACCAAACCAATCAATTATCAGGTATCTTGTCCTTGTTCTTGTTTGTTACAGAGCTGAAGTAGAATTCCTACATCCACATAACATGTAGAATAGCATATACCTAAGTAATGTTGTGTATCTTTCATTCAAAGCTCAATTCAACAATTTAGCAATTGTTAGAATACTTAATGCCTTAACACTTAGCAACATGAGGCAGAAATACTGGCTGCAAGCTATTGACTTCAAGGCAGGGGAGCACACTAACTCATAGCCTCTTTCAATACAAGGTACTGCAACATGGGTAGGTTACTCTTTCTCTTGTTGCAGCCAGGAATTGTGAGTACATCTTGTCAGAAAAAAGTTCCCCTTGATTATACACAGTCTCACCAGATTGATAAAATTATGCTTCGTTAGTTTGGTGTCTGGATTACACTTATTGTTGAATTATTCTTTGTTTTGACTAGCCTAATTCGTGTATCTAATTCTAAGTACGTAAGTTTTTAATTTTAGTAAATGGGAAATTAAGCGTTGTCAGTGTTGTGGTTCCCGTGGAACTCATTTGGCCTGTTCAGCTCTGAAGTCATGGGAGCAAAACTGGGAGTGCATGGAATGCAGAAGTATCTTAGCAAAATCAGGTAAGTGACAGATGTGACAGTGACTTCTTAAAACAATAAATTTTAATACTATGTATTTTAGAGTTAGAAAATGTCACTAAATATCTTAAATATCTTCCCACACAGGGAACTATAGCAAACGGAAAAAGCATTCTTTGGCTACCTCTGAAAAGGCTGATGGGACAACTTGTTTGCTGGAAGAGCCATCTCCAAAGTGCCCTCGGCAGTCATCTGGATCTCAACGCAGTTTTCTTCTCCAGTGTGTAATTTTCTGTTTTCAAACAAAAACTGATTATAAAATAGTATTTAAACATGAGGAGGTGATGGCTTATTCCGTAGATGGAACTTATTACATTAAATTGCAGATTGAGTAAAATTGGAGTAAAGTTTACTGATTGAAGCTTTCTGAGTAAACTGTGAACTCTGTAAATTTGCTATAGTTATTCACTTTCAGTGGTATGCAAACCAGTTTTTAGTTTGATATATTTAGACCCTTGTAAAAAGGTTCTCAACAATTTAGAGGTTACTTCAAATGTACAAATGGCAAAATTTAAAGCTAAGGTTGCTTATTAGTATTTTTCCATGTGAATAGTGTGCTAGAAATCTAGCTTAGAGATGTTTATATAAATAACGTTTTCCTCTGCTGTAATAAAAGCTTTTCAAGTCTGTAGAAACTAATATTTTTAGGTTTTAGTTGTTGTATCAGTCACAACTTCCTTTTCATGTATGGGATGCAACTAAAAACAGATCCTAAAACCACTGCATAAATAAATACTTAATTGTTATTTTTAAAATGACAGCTCAGGCACTGATGGGCTTCATGTAAATGAACATACAAATTAGATTCATCACCGAAATAGTGAGAAATTATGTTGTTACCTTCAAATAAGAAGTGTTAAAGCATTCCTCAATTGTATCTCTTAAAATACTGTTTTGACTTATAGATCACCAAAGGCATTGTGTCAGAACAACCTGTCACCCTGCTCACACCGAGAACGTCCAGCATCCAACACAGTGACAATGCCCTTGTCTCCACTGATGTCAAACAGGAACTGTTCCCTGAGGAAAAAGTATTTTCTTCTATTTTTTACGTTGAAGAGTAATCTAGCGCATGGCTTTATACCATATTTCCTACAGAACATGGTGTGTGTGTGTGTATATATAGTGGCTATATATATTTGTGTGTGTGTGTATATATATATGTATAGTCACTGGAAAAATTGAATGAGTATGCTGAAGAGCTGAAGTCATAACTTGATAAAAGCTTCTGTTGTTTCTAAATGCTAGAGGAGGGTGAGGAGAAAAGAGTGATTCCTATTGAGAATTTTTAGGTTAGGTAGTGAGAAGATCAAACCTCAGAAATGTATTTGTCCTTAGAGAAGCATGGCTAGCCATTCTTCAGAAAAGGGGAGTAACAAGAATCCTAACTATTTTCTTCAGATTAGACATATCCTTTTGTTTGCAAGTTAAAAAGCAAACAAGGAGTCTTAGTTAGACTGGTGTCTTAGTTGTTTTTAAATGAGAACTTGTGACATTTCTTCCTACTCAAATGTACTTTTGATTATAGTGACAAAGATGAAATACTAGTGAATAGTTGTCAGTGTGTTCTAATTTTGTTGCAAAACATCTCTTTAACGCAAGCATGGCAAGCTTTTCAATTTCTCACTTGTATCACATTGTTCAGTTGTAGAATGGTGGTGTTAGAATTGTTTGGTACTATGTTGGTGTAAGTTAATTAAAAAATATTAATTATATGTCAAGGTAATTATTTCTAGCTCCTTTTCTGTAGTTCTTAGAGGTACTTGAAAATTTGCCACCACAGAGTTAAAATTTGAAGAATCTACACCAAAAATTTTAATGATAATTTAGGCAATAACTAAAAGTACCAAAAGTGTTTTAAAGAGGTGTTTTTGTTAACAGATTTTAGGATGTTTCCTGCATAACTGTTGCTAATTATGAATAATAAATTTCATCTGAAAATACATGCAATTTCTTTGTAGGCATTTAAGAAAGCAAAGAAGGGAAATTTCTAACATACTGAAGGAGTTAAAGCTACAAATTAGTACAAAAACTACAAGGCTTAACATCAATGCAGAGAACTTCTGGAATAGTGCTTTAAAAGGATTTAGACAGCGCAACTTCAGTCCTACAAACACCATTGAAATACAGTTCACAAACTGCAAAAACAGATCAAAGACAAATACTTCTGCTGCATCAAAACACCATTTCTTTCAATTATTAATGCGTCACCTTCAGAATTCATCATTGTTTGAGGGCTCTTCTGCAAAGAACTTGTCCCTTGATTTTCAAGGTAATTAAATGCTTTGTTCAAAAATACATTAAGAATTATGTGACTTAAAAGGTTTTTAAGTCTTCAGCCAGTATGATTGCCAGTTCACAATTATAGTCCTGATGGATAGAAATTGGTTGTGGCATTCTTCTGCTTTTCAATTCTAAAGGGGCGTGGATTGCAGATTAACAAAAAAAATAGTGGTTTAGTTAGAAAAGTCGATGACAACCAAGAAAAAAAGACAGCGTATCATTAGACTTGGAATGTTTGATTAATGTATTTGTTCTCTACTAGTGAATTTCTTTCTTCTGATTCACTTTGCCTGTTACTTATTTTCCTTTCCTCAAATGTCTAGAACATTATCTCTGAGAGCATGCTGCAGAGATGCTCCCAAAGTTAGCTGCTTTGAGTTCTCATGCTTCAGAATTAAATGTGCATTGGTTAGAAAGTGGAAGATACATCTCCTCCCAAATCTTAACAGTGACTCAAGAGTTGAAGTAAAAGAATATGGTACTCCTATGTAAAAAGTACTCCTATGTAAAAAATAACAGTCTAGTTGTGTCAAGCAGCAGGAGATGGCAAACCTCATTAGTTGTATCTCCTAAAATAGAACTGCATTATAAGAGTTTTTTTCTATTAAAAATTGAGGATCACAAATGACTTTTATGCATATATAGTAATTCTTTTTTTTTTTCATTTGCAGCTGTAAAAGAGAATCTTTATTTTGAAGCTGGTAAAATGATTGCAGTTTCTTTGGTTCATGGTGGCCCATCTCCTTGTTTCTTTTCCAAAACACTGTTCCGTTGTCTTGTCTGTGGTCCAGAGAATGTGAAGCCAACTTTGGAAGATGTTGCTGATGTTGATGTAGCACGAACAATAGAAATGGTAAATGAAGCAAAACTTATTGGAAAATTCTTGTTCAAGACTATATATTTTGAGGTTAAGAAGGATTTACTGAATGTAACTTTAGTTCAAATTTTAAAACTTGCTTACTACATGCGTGTGGGTATACAAAAAAAAATTTCTAACTTTTATCTTCTGATACAGATAAAATATGCAAATAGTCTGTCCAGCCTACAGTCTGCAATACACGACTGTCATGAATTCCTTGCTGCTGCTGGATGTTTACCTATACGACCTATAACATCTTTGTGTGATAAGGATTTGCTGGTGAATGACATATTGATCCATCATGTGATCAAGAGAATTATTTTGCCCTTAGAAAGGTTTGTTTTGTTTAAGTTTTCAAACTTCCTGGACTATTTTCCACACTGAAATACTAAACAATATACTGTAATATATTACTATATACATAATATATACAGTAATAAGATTAACTTTAACATATTCTTCCTTACTCTCCATTTAAACCAATGAAATGTACTGTAATTTTTAGTTTGTTAAATAGCAATTGTTAACAAGTTAGTTAGAATGTAAGACTGAAACTACTTCTGTACGTATCTGCTCTGTTCCACTTCTCCTTGGCCACATCCCTTTTTGCAACCTTAGGAAGAAGACAGATTCACAGTTGTAAACTATAGCATGACAAAGACCTTTGCACTAGAAAACTTTCTGTAGCTTATGTTCATTTTGAATTCTGAATTACTTGAATTTTTAAAATCTTTAAATTTTAGAAGTGTTAAACATATGTTTAGAATTTAAATGAGTTTCCTAGAGTTCTAATTAAGGAGTTTGTGTGTGCCATTAGGAGGACAATGATGTGAACAAATGTAAGTTGGCTTACTTGCAATGTAAGCATTGCATTGGTGGTTCCATGAGCTAGTGGTGACTTCAGATAGCTGGGAAAGTTGCAGCTGTTGACTATTTTTTTAATTTGTCTCTGACCTTGCTTCCAATTTGCATTCTACATCTGCTCAGTAAAAAGGCATTGGACGCTAATTTTTCCAACAAGTATAGTTGGATTTATACTTAACACATTTATGGTGTTATATTTGACTAATTTGAATCAACTGACTTTGCAAGAGCTATGAAAAACTAATTTTGAATGTGAGGATTTTTTAACAAATTTGAGAGTAATTAGGCTTTCAGTCAAGGACCTCTGTGACTTACTTGACCAGCCTGTATCATATTTTAAGACTAGTCAGTTAAAAAGTGAAAGGTAATAAGTAGCCTGTTTGTTTATAGGAAAATGTATTTTTTTGCGTTTTTCAAGATGGGCTTAAAATGTGCAAAAGTGAGTAGAGCAAGAATTTGACTGTCAGTATCGAGGACTGAGAGTAAGTAGTTAGTCTCTTTAACTGTTAATGTTCTACACCACTGACTGTACACTTTCAACATGTTTATTCTGAATTTTACTGATTTAGCCTATTGATATCTAAGAAATGATGAGTAAACAAATTAAGTAAAATTTTAATTGGAGACTGTAGATGGGGAAACTTTATTCTGGTTCAGTCTTACAGGTTTATAAAATGCAGTGTGCAATTGGTTACCTACTGGCTTTCTGATGTGTGCTTGATCTCTTTTCTTTTCCGCCTCCTAGTTTTAGGCAAGGTTTGAAAACTCTTGGTGTGCTCGAGAAAATGCAGATGCATCCGGATGCCTTCTCTAGTATCCTGTGCCACAAATCTGAAAGATTTTCAGCAGAAACTATTTACGATCTCTTTACAATCCATTCCTCATCAGATGTAAATAAAGCTGAAGGTGCTGATTTTTGGGTGGGTTATCTGCAAGATGTGGAAAGTAAGTAATTATTTTTTTTCTTTTTCTATTCCCCCTTCCCTGTTGAGAGTGCTGAGCTGCTGGTATACATACAGGGGCTGTGTTTTAGAGTTCAGTGGAGTAAATGAAGTTTTTGAGGTTGCTGTAAGTTCCTAATTGCTCCTTCTTCCCCTTCCTCCTTACTAACTACTGAAACTGTTGTCCAATTATAACCAAACTTGAGAGGGGTAAATATCTGAAGGATTGGTACTAGAGTTCTTGTGAGTTTTTTAAAACAAACACAAAACCAAAACAACTTGAGCGGTAGAGAAGAATCCTTTAATCCCTTCTCTTTCACAGTTTTGCTATGAACTTATTAGATAGTGTGCCTCTCAAAAAAGATAGAAAACAGTGGTCTATTCTTGCAGAAGAATTACTGTTTAAAATTTTTCAGAAATAATCCAAGTGGATTTTTCTTCCTAAAATTTTTCTTATTTGGCCATGTAACTGTATATTCAGTCAGCATATTGATCTGATTTATGGAGTGTTTTTTCCTCTAACACTTAACATGCAGGATAATGGTTTATGGGTAATAGGCAATAATTGATACGACTTAATCCTGTGTTTTTTAGGTGGTGAGTCAGGAGTGACATTGGAGGATATTCTGCTCTTTGCAACAGGCTCTAATTGTATACCGCCCGTTGGGTTTGATCCTGAACCTACTATTAAATTTTTGCGTAGAAGGTATCCCGTTGGAAACAGACTCCTTAATTGCTTAGAGCTCCCTATAACAGAGACATACGAGCAGTTTAAAAATAAAATGGAGTTTGCCATCAGAAACGCACTAAGATTCAAAATAGAATAAATTTCTTTGCTACGAACTGGGTGTTGGAAATTTCAGTTTTCTGCAGGAACATCTGCTTGCAAACCGCTACTGGGTTTTTGGACAGCATGCTCTCCACCTTTCCCTACTTCTCCCCCAAAGATATGCAAAGAGTAGTAATGTTGTAAGATGAAAAACAGTGTTCAAATGAAAATACACTTTATCTGTTAAATCGTCTTCCTGTTTGAAGTTTGCTTTAAGAATCAGCAATCTCTTAGAGAAGTACTGTGAATGTCTCCTTTTGCTCTAGACACTATGAAATGTTACCAAACTCTGCAACATTCTAGCAGTTTCCCCCAGGTAAGTATGTTTATTGCATGACATGCTCCAGTAACTTCCTTATCAAAGTCAAATCAGGTACGTTTTGATGATAACTGCTGTAAAGCTTTCTCTCAAGGAAAACTGATGCAGTTCTTCATGTGTTGCGTGTGTATTTTTTTCAGTAATTGTTTTTACATCGATGACACATTTATGTTGTGATGATTCACACAACCTATGAAAGTTAACAATCTTGGAGTTTTAAGGTCATTGTGGTTAGTGCATTAAAATATAACTAGGCTCTGGAGAAAGCCTAGGCAAAATAAGGCCCAAGAACAAAATCTGACTGAACTTGAGTTTCTGTTGTTAAACAAACTCAAGTTCATTTGAGTTTGCACACATTTCTGCATTCTACTGTTATATGTTAGTTTTTAATTGTACATACAGCCAAAGCAGTAAAAAAATAAAATACCTTTTTTAATATGCAATAATATGTGGTCTTTCAAAATGAAATATAAGGGTTAGACTTAATGTTGTTCAAGTATGAAAGTATAAGAATCTGTTGCTCACTAGAACGTGTTGTTTCATCTTCAAAGGAAGTCAGTATTTTCACAGAAATATGCACTAGAACTATTAAACTAAAGGCAACCCACCAGCAACTTGTCAGTGCCTGACACTTTTCTAGCTTTTGGTCTAAACTCTTCCTGTTCAATGGTAGGTGCATTATGAGCAATTTCAGCTGTATAAAATATATTTCAATTTTGCAGTATTTGTATAAATACCATTAAGCCATAAAAGATAAGTAGTGAAATTCCTACACCGTAACACTTTAATGTTACTATTACTAAAACTATGAAACTAAAAGGACATTTAAGTACAGGTTGTTTTGTTTGTTTTTTCTATACTATGTCCCAAACATAGGTTGTGCTATAGATGTGTGTGTGTGTATATATATATACACACACATTCTTCAAAATACTGAAAAGTAATAATACACTTTTTTTTATTAATGTAGCTTGGTTTTAATTGAAAATACAAAGCAGGATTGCTTTACTTTTGAATGCTTTGGTAAGAAAGTAAATTATAAATGGATAGATGCTTCTGAAAAAAACTAATCTGGTTTCAAGTTCTGGGTTATCATTCATTACATGTATTCTTGTAATTAACAAATTGTATTGCTAAGTGCTAATTACATAGCAGTGTACTGCAACTAAAGAACTGTGGAAGTAGCAGTCAAGACTCATAAAATTTGAGACCATGCTATAAAGGTTAAAGACAAAGAGGCAGGTGGATATTGCACAGCTCATTTTACGATATGCAGGTGTTTTGAATCAGTCTTAAACTCCTACAGCTTCTCTTTCTTGATTTTGGGAGAGGTGCTAATCTCCTTTTTTACAGACCTGTTTCCATCACTGGGTAACAAAAGTGTGCATTGCTACTTCTTAAAATTTTGTTATTTCAAAGTCGCTAAATTACTGCAAGGCTTGGATGAGGCATATCTCACTACTTCTCATATAGCTAAAAAAAAATTTGATCTCATCAAAGTCCTGTCGTCAGAAATTTAGGAATATTTGAAATTTAAACAGGCATAGTGGTGTTTTTCTGATTCTGAGCCAGAAGTGTATTAAAGTCTCCTTTGAAATAAATGTATGAGCTCTTGGAGATAGTATATAGAGAAGTCAAATGACTAAGCATTTTCTCATTCTCTTCTGATTTTTTTTTTAATCCAGTAAAATTCCATGTTTGTTGTCTTTGCATAATTTTTAAATGGTATACTGCTAATAACTTTATATTCTTAACCTTCAGAATGGTCTTGTTACCATTATAAGGAAGGTGGTTTGTTACAAATTTGTGTAATAAGGGTTCGTGTTCTTAAAACAGCAATGAGTTTTCTGCATAGTATTATACTTCAAAAATGACTGGTGTACCCAGTGCAGTGTTCCTTTTTCATGTGTAGTTGAGGATAAATGTCTTCTTGCAATATTATATTATTTTTCTGTATGGGAAATAAATAACTTACAGAAGTAGCAAGCAGAGTGTCGATAATTTTAAAGGACAATTCTTGGACTTCTGGTACCTGCAATGGCAAGGGACATGGTTTAGAACTTAAAACTAAATAAACTGCACTTTAAAACCTTCAATGGAGAAAGAAATAGTAAAGTAATGTGACTATAAGGCTTCAAAAAATATCTGAGATAAAGGACTTTAACCCTATTTTTATTGCATATTTGTTTTGAATTCAGCAGTTGATAGGCTTTATATAAAGGTAGAACTAGCCTATTTGTCAGCTGTAAAAGAAATCTTAAGTTAACTTTAAAACTCTGCTATACAATGCTGTATCAAAATATGAAATTGTAAAATCCTCTAGTTTTACTATTGCTTGAAAAGACTTTTCTTAAACAGAACTTGTTCCCATTTTCTAACATTGATGTACACGTCTCAGGACAAGTTATTTTTCCTTTCTTGTTGGTTTGGTCAGCTCTACCTAGACATTCTAATATAATCATTGATACATCCAAGTTGTATTCCTAAATGCTACTATGGGAAGAAACTTCTTCTCTTCCTCTAAATAAGGCTAATTTTCAGCCTTATTTATATAGACCAATCCTAAATTTACTCTTCTCATTAAAATTCCATTGAACAAGCTGACTTCCAATCCATCAAAACACAGAAAGGTGTCTCTTCTCTTTAAAAAACTGTAAGAACAATTTCTGTAACTATAATGACCATCAGGTTTTTAACTGCTATAGCAAGTCCCTGAAGTGCAATATTATCAGGTAGTTTTCATTTTATATAAACTTCAACCTGAGGCACATCTGGAAATTAGGGAAGTTGCTTACTTGTATTTTTGTAACACAAGGAGAATAATTGTATATGCATTAGCTGCTGTGTATTAAGTCTTACAAAAAATGTAACTTCTATGAAAATGTATTTATCAGGGCCAAAAGAGAGCTCTTGCAGTCCTCTCTGACGGTGTTTGGCCAAAGAACTTCACCCTCCAGTTCCTGCATCAGTCCCTAAGCTTCCATCTGGAATTAGCACATCAAATAAGCTATTTATTTTCTAGTGATCACTTTCTAGTAAACAATACTAGGTTAGTATCAGTGGTTTTAGAATGGTTTCATCAATGCAAGTGGAACTTTAAAAAAAAAACAAAAAAAACAAAAAACAACAAAAAACCTGAGGGATAGTAATTTCTGTGACTTGTTTTCACCCATGTGAAGGATGCTTACTAGACAAAGCTGTTAGCATTTTTAACTGGTTTATGAGTGAAATATAGTCAAAAGAAGAAGTTAATACCAGTTTATACTTAAAACTGCAGCATGAGATGATTTAGACCGTGACTTTTTACATTTCAGTCTTGGGACTGGAAGACTTGAGAATTTTGAAAGATACGTTTAAAATGTAGAGTATTACAGTTGCCATGAGCATTTTGAAAATAGTATAAAACTTCATTGAAACAGGAGGCTACAAAATATGCTTTTAAAGTTCATCTTGATTCTGTATTGTAGAGTAAGGTGTTTTAAAACTCAAGGTTTACTTTTGTACTTAGGGAATGGAATTGCTAGTTGGATAAAAGAAAAATTGAAATGTAAAAATTTCTGATGTCAAATTTTATGTATACAGAAAATCATTGTAAAAATTTTGCTTGTAAAAAAAAATGCAACCCTCTGCTTTTTGTATTGCATAAACAATGTTCTTTTAAAACTTACTGTAATTAGAATATTAGACAAAGTAAAGTTTTGTAAATACTTCTAGCTCCAACTTGAAATGCTGCATCTTCAAGCAACTTTGTACTTGACAAGAGCAGCATCAGCGCTACAATAATGCGTAATTGCGGGAAATAAGTCATGTTCAACATGTCACCAAGGGCTAAATTTCTGTTGTAATAAATATGTAACATTTTTCAGTGCTTTTGTTTCGGTGGTTGAATGGGTTTTAGCTCTAGGAGTGTTATCCCTATTTGCTGTAGTTTTGCTTGTGCACCACTGCCCATCTTTATAGCTGTTGATAGCGATACTGTGGGCACGGACAAGCAAACTCTAAAGTATTTTCCCTTTCAATAACTCACTGAACTTGATGATTTTCCTGGTTTTGAAACATCAGTGCTTTCCCTGGGAAAGAGCTCTTTTAAATCCTAAAATTCTCAATTCCCGCTCCCTGGAGGACGAGGCGGGTTCTGGGGCGGCGGGCCGGTGGGCGGTACCGCCTCCGCCGGGGCAGGGAAGGCGCAGAGCCGGGACCGGGGTCCAATGGGGAGGCGGGGCCCCGCACCTGCGGAGCCCGGGCAGGGGCGGAGCGGGGCGGCCCGGCC